ACATGGCATATGAAAAGAAGAATCATCAAATGTATAGTCCACACAATAAGGACAAACTAGATTCCATATTCTTGGATATAGAGCACTGGCCAAGAGGTCTTCATAACAATTGAGTGTATTAGCTAGTTTGCACTGAAAAAAGATGAGGAGGATAAAAGTGGGATTTTTTTCACTATCGAATAGTCCTCAAATCCTCTTGAATGTTAAAGCGTTATTTCCAAGGAAATATTTCTATAAACAATAGTATACTTTCAAAAATGTTATCTCTAGTCCTGTCCATTTGAAACCAAAAGTAGAGTAGTCTAAGGTATTAACCAGAAAGTAATTACCTAGGAAATAATAGAGCTTTTCTCATATTATAACATATTAACAATTTTAGTTTAGAAACACTTTCATAAACATCCTTTATTCATTCATTCATTCATTCTACTAATATTATATTGATCCTAATATGAGTAAGGTAAAATTCTAGGTGCTAAATAAAAAGTTGGTAAGTCATAGTTCACTCTTCAAGGGAGGATAACTTTTGGGGAGGTAGTGCAGAAATGCAGACATGGACAATATGACATTTTATAGTGTAATGTAATAAGCACATCAAGCAATTAGAGCAAGTGGGAAGTGTAATCTACAAATTCAACTTCAGGTATTAATTTTTCTGTACTTTTTATGCTTTATTCCTACTATTTTGGGAGAATACTTCAGCAATCTTTCCAGGGCTCCACAACTCCACAAAATAAAATTATGTCTTGGATTTAGAATCATATATTTTGCATAGCATAAACATAAGGCTTGGTGATATTTCTTCAAAATATTGAAGAAAAATAGGATATTTACACAGTCACAAACTATCTCCCCCAAGATAAGTGTTAATTAATTACACAAAAGAAAATAGTGACTTTTTAGTGAAGAAATCTGAGAGATCACCTTAACCAGTGATTAAGGTTAGCCTCAACAGTAATAAAACATATCGACAGACAACACAAACTCCAATACATTACACTGAGAAGGGCACATCACTTGTGTAATATACTTGTCAAAAATAAAAACCTCTACATGAGAAAATATCAAGCAAACTCAAATAGAGGAACATTCTACAAAATACCAACAATTAATTACACATCAAATGTGTCAAAATCATAAAAGATAGATACTGAGGAATTGTCACAGATTGGAAGAGACTAAGGAGACATGACAACTAAATACAGTGTGAATTCTTAAATTCTTTAACAAAAAAAGGATACTAATTGAAAAAATTGGTAAAAATCCAAATAAAGTCTATAGGTGGGTTAGTAGAATTATAGTCATGTTAATATGTTAGTTTTAATAATTACACTGTTTATGCAATATATTAACGGGGAAGATGAGTAAAGGGCATATTTAAACTCTATTTTTGTAACTTTTTATAAATCTAAGATAATTTAAAAATAAAATGTAAAAATTTACTTTAGTATTTTTATGAGTATCAATAATTAAATTTAAAGGCAATTATGTAAAAAGTTGGTGTATAAATATGTATATTTTAATCATCAATATGAAAGAAAGGACATCAAAAAGTTTATTAAAACATGATATTAAAGAATGAAAAGAAAAAATATATGTTTTATCACTCAACATAAACTTCATCAAAGTCAAGACCCTTGTGGAAGCAATGATACCAGTTATTTAGTCTATTGCAAAAGAACTGAGATTTCTGGGAACTTAACCATATCAATGCAGTATTCTTTAGGTTATTAACTAAAGAAAAATGGATATTTTTAAAGATTATGAAAAAAATACAGATCAGAAGGTGTCAAATAAGAACTGGATGTTATATGTTTAATAATTTCCCATCTAAATTATTGCAAAATTACTTTTTTTGATGAGAAGAATGAGCAGAAGCATTGTCATGCTAGTGACAATAGTGAAAAAGGACTCCCTGATGAAGCATTCCTGTGTGTTTATGCTGAAGCTGTGGCTAACTTTCTCAAGACACTTTCATAATAAGCAGATATTATTATTTGTCCTTCCAGAAATTCAAAAAGCAAAATGCCTTGTGAATATCAAAAACCTGTTGCCATGACCTTTGCTCTTATCCAGTCTGCTTTACCTCTTGATAGCCATTGTTTTGCATTTTGTCTTTAGGATTATACTGGAAATCTCATATTTCATCTACTGTACAATTCTTTGAAAAAAATGCTTCAGGATATTGAAGTCAATTGTTTTAAAACTTTCATTGACAGCACTGCTCTTGTCTGCAGCTGATCTTGGTGCAGTAGTTTTGGGACCCATAAAGAGAAAAAGTAAAACTGGACCCCTTCCTGACACCTTACACTAAAATTAACTCCAGATGGATTAAAGACTTAAACATAAGACCTAACACCATAAAAACCTTAGAAGAAAATCCAGGCAAAACCATTCAGGACACAGGCGTAGGCAAGGACTTCATGACCAAAACACCAAAAGCATTGGCAACAAAAGCCAAAATAGACAAATGGGACCTAATCAAACTCCACAGCTTCTGCACAGCAAAAGAAACAGTCATTAGAATGCATCGGCAACCAACAGAATGGGAAAACATTTTTGCACTTTACCCATCTGACAAAGGGCTAATATCCAGAATTTACAAAGAACTAAAACAGATTTACAAGAAAAAAACAAACAAGCCCATTCAAAAGTGGGCAAAGGATATGAACAGACACTTTACAAAAGAAGACATACACGAGGCCAACAAACACATGAAAAAATGCTCATCATCACTGGTCATTAGAGAAATGCAAATCAAAACTACAGTGAGATACCACTTTCTTTTTTTATTAAGAATTGTGCACGATGAACAAATAAAGATGTATTTGGTGTTGGTTATTGTTTGTACTGTTAATTTTAGATCCTCTTAATTAGGGCATGAACAAAATTAACCTTTCTCTCACAAACTGATGTGGATAGTCTGCCACTGCCTTTATCTTCAACATAGTCTTATCCTCTTTTTTTTTTTTAATTTTATTTTTGGTTCTGGGGTACATATGCAGGTCATGCAGGGTTGCTGTATAGGTGCATACATATTCTGGGGTACATGTGCAGGTTATGCAGGTTGTTGTACAGGTGCATACATAACCAGGTGGTTTGCTACCTCTATTCCCCCTTTGACTATATTCAGCTTTTCTCCCCATTTTATCCCTTTCTTAAGTATTTAAAATCAGCATTTGTAAACTGCTAATTTATTTGGGGCATTGTCCCTATAAACTTTTCTTAAAGCATCAGTGATTTCACCAGATTGGCACACAAACTTCACCATAAATTTGATGATTTTCTTGTTAAAATTTTGGCGGAATTTACGTTGCTCTGATAGGAGTTTATTTTGAAATGATAGCTTATTCTTCCTAGTGCCTCAAACTAGATCTTGTTTGAATGTGTTATAACAAATTACTACAAGTTTATTTTGTTCCAAAAAAATTAGAAATCCATGAATAGTTTTTGTATATTATGCATTTTTCATGAACTCTTTGAAGACTCTGGTATATCAAATATATGTAATGTATATTTATATACTATAACAAATGTGTATTAAATATACTAAATCTACTGTACCAGAAAAGATGGAAGAGAAGAATAGAATTATAAACTATGTCAACTGAGATAATTAAGGGGCTTGTTGATTAAGGTGATTTTTACTGTCCTCACACCTGGAAAGTAACGAAACCAAGGTGTTCTTTCTGCTTGTCTTGTGGTAGTTTATTAAGTGATAATTTCCCATATGAAAATACTAAAAGAAAATTCAAAATAAATGAGATATTTATTAGTTATGAACTATTTACCTAGAACCAATGAGATCCCTGGAGTAATCTATTCACAATATAAGCAAAAAAAAAGTATCTGATTATTATACTCATGTTTGACCCAAAGAACCAATAATATATGATTCAAAATAAAAGTTCAATAAAATAACAAAGGAGAACATAACATTCTATCAAGGTTAAAACAAGGTATTTTTTATCTAAAATAAACTTTTTTCTTAAGCTTCATATTTTGATTATTTCAGCTATCCTAGATACTGTAGCGAGAAGAGTTATTTTCTCAATTTACATAATATATGTATGACAAAACACATTGGAACAGCTAACAATAGAAGAAGCATGTTAATTTATGTAAATTATTGTGATAACCTTAGGCTTTTACAGAGTAGAGTAGGACCTAGAACCATGACATGATAATTAACAATCAAGTGGAATGCAAGTCACAGTGTTATCTAGTGGGAAGAATATACAAAAGAGTTCGTGCCTTAGATCTAGCTCTGTCACAGTTAACCTCTTCATTATCTAAAAAAGTGACATAAGTGATGGCTAATGTTGTCATCACTCCAATATTTAGGCAAAATAGGATCTGATGTCTAGAGAGAGTGCCGCAAGTTCAATGTCAGGTAATGTACACTGATGTGGTAAGAGCAAAGGGTGTGCACTGACATCTGACACCATCTGATCTATGGAACAGTTAATTGAATAAATGCTTCCAGTTTCTCAGGGTTAGCCAGAAAGTCCCTACTTGCTGTAGTTTGAAAGTTTGATTCCTCCAAACCTCATGTTGAAATTTGATCCCCAATGCTGGAGGTGGGACCTAATGAGAGGGGTTGGGTCATGGGGCTGACTACCTCGTGAACAGAATGATGCCACCTCTGGCAGGGGTAGGAGAAGGTGAGTCAACTCTCCCTTTATTCATTCCTCAAAGAGTTGGATGTTAAAAAGAGCCTGACACCTCACCCCACCCCTTTGCCTCCTCTCTTGCCATGCAATTTTTGCACATGCTAGCTCCCCTTTTTTCTGCCATTAGCGGACTCAGTCTATGGCCCTACAAGAAGCCAAACAGATGTCAGTATCATGCTTCTCAAACAGCCTGCAAAACTGCAAGACAAATAAGTCTTTTGTCTTTGTTCATTACCCAGTTTCAGGTATTCCTTTATAGCAGCACAAAACAGACTAAGACAGTACTATATTACTTTTCCAGTGCTTCTATAGAAAAGGACAAAAAACTAGGTGGCTTAAACAATAGAAATTTTTATTGTCACAGTTTTAGAAGCTGGAGGTCCAAAATCAAGGAGTCAACAAGATTTGTTTCTTCTGAGGATCATGAGGGAGAATCTGTTCCATTATTGTCTCTTCTGGTAGCCTCAGATGTTTCTTGGTTTACAGATGGCATTCTTTCTGTGTTTTCACATCTTCTTCTACGCACATCTATTTCTGTGTCCAAATTTTCCCTTTTTATAAAGGCAGCAGTCATACTGAATTAGGACCCATTCTAATGATTTTGTCTTAACTTGATCATCTAGAGTCATATTGCTAATAATCCATATGAAGGTCCAGGCTCCTCACACACATTTCTCCTTTAAATGTATACTGTAGTACTATGACAAGTGTCTTGCTAAAATCATTCATACTGTTTAATCCTGTCTATGAATTCCAGTCATGTACTAAAGGAAATCAATGTAGTCTGAAATGAAGTCTTCATTGTGAACTCTCCACTAGTTCTTCATCAAAGGATTAGCATCATTGACTTCAGAATTAAACAGAAGTGTCTAATTTTCACAATTTCTTCCAATTTTCTTGAGATAGGTATCCACTCATGTAATATTTTTTCCACTTTTGATACAATCTCGATAAAAAATATTTTACTGCCCTCTAAACTTTTTATTTTAAATGACATTTAATGTCAATTAATGCAATATACCACATCAGTAAATGAAAAGTCACACTATTATCTCAACACACACAGAAAAAGCACTTCAAAATTATAACATCCCTTCATGACTAAAAAAATAAACTCCACAAGCTGAGAATAGAAGGAAATTTTCTCAATATGTAAGGAACATCTGCAAGAAACCCCCACAGCTAACATCATATTTAAGGGAGAATATATTTCCCTTAAAATCAGTCATAAGACAAGGATATCTTTTCTTACTACTTCTATTCAGCATTGTTCTGAAAGTTCTAATCAGGGTGAATAATCAAGAAAATAAAATAAGGGGATCTCAATTTGAAAAGAAAAAATTATATTTGCAGATAATTTTGTACATGATGATAAAGAATTTATAAAAAATTATTAGAGCTAACAAATGATATCGCAAAGTTTCAGAATTCATGCTTAATATACAAAAATCAATTTTGTTTTCATACGGTAGTATTTTTAAACTAAAAAGAAAAGAATTTTATTTACAATAGCATCAAAAATTAAATACTTAGGAATAATTTAACAAACGGCATGCCAAATTTATACCTAAAAACAATACAACACTGTGGAAAAAATTAAAGAAAACCTAAATTAATGGAAAGGTATCCCATATTTGTGTATCAAAAAATTAACATTATGAAGATGACAATATTTCACAAATTAATATACAGATTTTATGTACTCTTCCTCAACATTGCAACTGATTTCCTTGCAGAAATTACAAGCTAATACTACAATTCATACTGAAATTCAAGCAACCCAGAATAGCCAAAACAATCTTGAAAAAGAAGAACAAAAACACTCCCTGATTTCAAAGCTTACTACCAGCTTACAGTAACCAAGACGTTATGGTATTGGTATAAGGATAAACGTAGAGATAAATAAAATAAGATTGAGTGTCCAAAATTAAACAGTCATGTTTTTGATCAATTATTTTTCAACAAGGGTTCCAAGATAGTCAAACAGGAAAATAATGGCGTTTTCAACTATTTTCTAAGTCAACTGGATAACCACGTTAAAAGAAGAAATTTAGACCTGTATCTCAAGCCATATACAAAAATGAATGCAGAATGTATCGAAAACTTAAATGTAAGAAGCTGTAACACAGAAGAAAACATGAGAATAAATCTTCATGATCTTATATAAGGCAATGATTTCATATATATGACACCAAAAGCACAAGCAAGGAAAGAGAGTAAAAAAGAGATGAAAGGGATCTCATCAAAATTTTAAAAAAATTATGCTTCAAATGAAATCATCAAAGGTCAAGATAATCCATAGATTGAGTGAATGCTTTGGAAAATTATATGTCTTATAAGGAATTTGTATCTAGAATATATAAAGAACTATTACAGTTCAATAATAAAGAGACATAACCCAACAAAAAATGGGAAAAAATGATTTGAATATAGATTTCTCCAAAGAAGATGTGTAAATGGCTAATAAACACATGAAGTTTTGCTCGTCATCATTAGCTCATTAGCGTCATGCAAATCAAAACTAGAAATAGATAACATTTCACGTCCACTAGGTTTACTAGTATAAAAAAGACAGATGACAACAAGGGTTGACAAGGAGGTAGAAAAATTGAAACTCATATACAGGTGATGGGAAGGCAAAATGATGAAGCTGCTAGATGAAATAGTCTGGTAGTTTCTCAAATGATTAAACACAGAGTTACCATATAATCCAGCAATTCTATGCCTAGGTATATACCTAAAATAATCAAAACTTATATCCACACAAAAGCCTTTACACTAATGTTCATAGCAGTTGTTCTAATATCCCCAAAGGGATAGCAACCCAAATGTCCATCAGCTGAAGAAGGGGTAAGTAAAAAGTGGTATAGACATACAATGAAATAAGTACTGATACATGCTACAACATAGATGAACCTTGAAAACACTATATTAAGTGAAAGAAGCCAGTTACATGAAACCACATATTGAATGATTCTGTTTTATGAAATATCAGAAATAGGCAATACAAAGACAGAAATTAGATTAGTAATTACCTAGAACTGGAGTTCAGGGGGATTTCATTGATTGATAATGGTATGGGGTTTTGTAGAGGGTAATAAAAGTATGCGCACTTCTATGAATATTATAGGAGCCAATGAGTTGTCTACTTCAAATTGGTAAATTATTATATGAATTCTATTTCAATTAAACTTTAAAAATGACATTCAAGTGTTACAAATGACAACTGGCAGTCTCAGTGCTAGGTATAAATAGGGAAGGGTGGAGATAGCAAGAAAGCAGAAAATGTTTAAGTCCTGTATAAAGGAGATCTCTGTAGTTCTGTTCAAACCTATTTTTGTCAACTAGGAATAGGGTCAACATTGCCAAATGTTTAAATTCATTTAAAATAAAAAAAAACTGAAAACCTTGAAGTTAAGACACATTCTCCCAACTTAAAAATGTTAGTGACTAATTCAACATTGGTCCAACAAAACATTTGAAGTCATTCTGCAATGACTGTTACACTTTCCAGTATACTGTTTTTCCCAATGTTTATGATTGCAGGGGAGATCGCATTCATATTAACTTATCTTTGCAATCGATATTTTAGGCATCTATTATAATAGCAACAACCAAGACCTAACACCATAAAAACCCTAGAAGAAAATCTAGGCAAAACCATTCAGGACGTAGGTGTAGGCAAGGACTTCATGACCAAAACGCCAAACGCATTGACAACAAAAGCCAAAATAGACAAATGGGACCTAATCAAACTCCACAGCTTCTGCACAGCAAAAGAAACAATCATTAGAGTGAATCGGCAACCAACAGATTGGGAAAAAATTTTTGCAGTTTACCCATCTGACAAAGGGCTGATATCCGTAATTTACAAAGAACTAAAGCAGATTTACAAGAAAAAAACTAACAAGCCCATTCAAAAGTGGGCAAAGGATATGAACAGACACTTCTCAAAAGAAGACATATGTGAGGCCAACAAACATATGAAAAAATGCTCATCATCACTGGTCATCAGAGAAATGCAAATCAAAACTACACTGAGATACCATCTCACGCCGGTTAGAATGGCGATCATTAAAAAATCTGGAGACAACAGATGCTGGAGAGGATGTGGAGAAATAGGAAGACTTTTGCACTGTTGGTGGGAGTGTAAATTAGTGCAACCATTGTGGAAGACAGTGGGGCGATTCCTCAAGGACCTAGAAATAGAAATTCCATTTGACCCAGCAATCCCATTACTGGGTATATATCCAAAGGATTACAAATCGTTCTACTATAAGGACACGTGTACACGAATGTTCATTGCAGCACTGTTTACAATAGCAAAGACCTGGAACCAACCCAAATGCCCATCGACGATAGACTGGATAGGGAAAATGTGGCACATATACACCATGGAATATTATGCAGCCATCAGAAACGATGAGTTTGGGTCCTTTGTAGGGACATGGATGAACCTGGAAAGCATCATTCTCAGCAAACTGACAGAAGAGCAGAAGATCAAACACCGCATGTTCTCACTCATAGGCGGGTGTTGAACAATGAGAACACATGGACACAGGGAGGGGAGCACTACACACTGGGGTCAGTTGGGGGGAAATAGGGGAGGGAGGGTGGGGGGTGGGAAACTGGGGGGGGATAGCAAGGGGAGAAATGCCAGATGTAGGTGATGGGGAGGAAGGCAGCAAATCGCACTGCCACGTGTGTTCCTATGCAACAATTTTGCATGTTCTTCACATGTACCCCAAAATGTAAAATGCAATAAAATAAATAAATGGGAAAAAAAAATAATTGTTGAATGTTCAGTCCAAATACTGAACTTAGATTATCATAAGCATTTACGAAATTTCACAAGAATTCTATTGATTAAATCCCAGTATTTTTCACATTTAAAAGGTGAGAAATGTGTTCTCCAGAAAGCATTTGTCTATGTCACACAGTTAATAAATGCTCACTTGGGATTTAAATGCAGGCATCTGATGCCAGAGATTGTGCTCCTCCTAATTATTCTATGCTGTTTATATGTGATGAGCCTCCTGAGGGCACAGGATTTCTGTCTTCAAGGCCCTGATAATCTCCTAGAGAGAAAGATACATGCAGAAAGCCAGTATAATATGGTATGTGCACTACTGATACAACAATAGGCTAGAAAAAAAGTGCCTCAACTCTGTGCAAAGGTTGACAACATAGCTGATTTTTTTTTAATGGAGAAACATGAATTTCCCAGAATGCAAAAGAGGAATAAACTCTTTGAAACAGAGAATGCTCAGCCCATGTGCAAAGGTAGAAACAAAGAAGATTTAGAAGCATACTGAGAACTGTGTATGATGTTGCATAGAAAATGATGAGAATATACTTGGAAATAAGGTTAATGATAGGCAGGGTCAAAGCACAAAATAAGTAGTTTTATATTATATTATGAAAGATAAGAAGTCTGAATATTCATATGTTAGGAGAAATAGTATGGAATTAGTGTAGAGGCTGGTTTAAAAACACAAAAGCAGGAAGATCATTTAAAAAGATGTTATTTAGTACCAGTAAGAGGTGACAAACCCTGAAACAGTAACCAAAAAAAAGAAAGAAGAAAAAGTTTATCTTTAAATGTGTGGTTAAAACGTCGTATGTTCTCACTTATAAGTGGGAGCTAAGCTATGAGAAAGCAAAATGCATAAGAATGACATAATGAACTTTGGGGCATCAGGGGAAAAAGGAAAGAAGGTGGTGAGGGATAAAAGACTACAAACAAAGTGCAGTGTATACTGCTCGGGTGATGGGTGCACCAAAATCTCACAAATCACCACTAAAGAACTTACACATGTAACCAAACACCACCTATTCCCCAATAACTTATGGATAAATAAATACACTAGGCAAATGATAAACACAAAAGTAAAAAATAAATTAAAAAAATAAATGTGTGGTGAACTGGTTAATGATAATATTGTGTGTTTGTTTTCTTATCACTTGCCACTGACATATATCTAAGATATTTTAAAAGATTTGGGTGTATCAAAATGTTAATTATTTAGGTTGCATATGTAATCTGCAAATTAAATTGGAAAAGGCACAATGAAGCCTCTCAAAGAGCAAGGATAAGCAAGGGGATAAAAAATTTTTGATTTTAGGTGCTGAGGCAAACACAATAATGACTAAAGTAGATATGAATACAAGCAATGCCACTGTAATGTAATTAAATTTCATCTTTATTGAAAAGCAAATTTCACCCCTACCCCCTACTACAAGACTTCAGACTGCAAAGTAAAGTTTTGCAAATTGTATGAAACCAGAACAAGCATGTCTAAACATAATTTAAAATATACTCATTGAAAGTTTAATCCATAACCTATAAAATGTATTCCCATTTTTATAACATATAGCATATTATATTATTGCTAATAGAGCACCTAGTATGTAAAATTTTTGGTGAGCAATACATTTCTAAAACATCTACATTTTAATTAAATTGCCTCCTTGAACATACTTTGGATTCTATTATGGACTAGCAGAACACAAGTGTAATTTTTTTGTTTTTTGTTTTCCAAAAGGAAAACAGTGCCACCTAATGTTAACTATCACTGATAATATACATGGAAGTTTACATAATCACACAAAATAATAGATTCAAAATATTTTTTCTTAAAATTATTTTAAAATTAATTTAATTACAATTTGAGACTTCTATGTAAGTAAAAACATTTATATTTGGAATTAAACTTCAGCAATAATTAAAGTAACTTTTCTGACATTTTCATCAAACCCTCCACTTAATTTTTAACAAATTTGGACTGTTAAGTATTCTCTGAGGGTGAATAATTATATTAGGCACCTTTGCATTTCTTTTTGCGCTAACACAGAGGTATTTAGTAAACATTTACCAGGCTTGACTCTCTTACATAATGTAGCTGTGAGTAAATAATTTTTAAATTTGAAAGATGAAAGAATAAAGCGAAGGAAATAAGAGGATACAACTGTCCATTTTTATATTATAAAGGTAATGCATCATCATTATAGAAGATTGGAAAAATTCCAGCGTAGAAGAAAAAATAAATGATCTCAGAAAAAGGTTTTATTTACCTTTGGACTATTTTCTTAGAAGGTTTCTGTAGATGTAGTTTATACTGTTTGTTATATGATTCTGTGACCATAATATGTTGTTAAAATTATAAATCTAGTTTGCTTTTTTCTGTTAATTATTTCTAAACATTAACTTAAACTTTCAATATATTTATTTCAATGAAATAGTGTCATTTAGTCAATTCACTATCGAGATATTTAGGATATATTTCATTTAGTATATTATGAATTGATAATGCTTTATATTTGCCATATATTCTTTTAGCAATATATATTTAATATATCTTTATGCTAGAAGAAAATTATTGTGATTCCATAAAGCTGTTAATGTTCTAAATGTTTGCATTTGTAACTTTTCACTTCACATATTTTTTAAATAAGAAAAATTCTGATTTCCTCACTTTAAGGTTAAGAAATCCAGAACCCCAATTTCTCATTAATTATAATAAGAATCTAAAATAGAACTCAGATCTTTATTAATTCAATACTTTACTATTGTACATTCAAATACATCATTGAGAAAATATCATGTTTCTGTCTTTGTATATTCTCATGTGTTTGAATATTAGTTTTAAATTTTTGACAGAAATTAGTTTTATGGTCTTTTTTAAAATGCAATTTAATTACCTGTCATTGCTCTAGAATAGTCTAATAATAGATTGAAGTTCACAGATGAGACAGTCTTTTCCACACAGAATCTGTGAAATAGTATTTTAGTAGAGTATAACATGCATACAGCTACATCAAGCTGTTTATTAAGTATGTAAGGTTAATACATACATAACACTTAATAAAAACTACTTAATAATAGTATTAAATAGCTTGATGAATTTTCATCAAGTAAGATTCTACATCTAACCCCAAGTCAGTTCAAAGAGAATATTAGCTGCCCAGGCACCCCTCTCATCTTCTGGATTTAAACCTTCCTTCAGTTACTACAGGGCCCCAGCTACCCACAACCCACAACACACATACACCAAACATGGGTAACTATTCTTACGACTTGACTTGTATCACCCCAGATGGCCTGTTGTTAAGTGGAATTCTACAACGTACACACTTATATGTCTGGTTTACTTCACTCAAAAATATATGATTCATCCATGTTGGTGCGTGCAGTTTTATTCTACCTGTATGCCACCAATAGAGAAACTATGACTTATAGGTCAAATCTCATACTTCAACCACCTGTTTTTGTCAATAAAGTTTTATTGAAACACAGCTATGCTGATATATTTACATACTTTCTATGGTTGCTTTCACACCACGATGGCAGAGTTGAGCAGTAGTGACAGAGACCTTATGGCCTGCAAAGCGTAAATTACATACTAACTGGATTCCTATAGAAAAAACTGTGCTGATTCCAATCTATAATACATACGATAGAATTTGCTTTATTTCAAACTTGGGACTTTGATCAGTAGTGCTGCTATGACATATAGTTTCAGCTATTTTCAGGTTCTCAGTTATATACCATTGTTGTTGATTTGTAATAGTGCTATAGCTTGCTAAGTATCTCTATCTGGTAAAATAAGTAAACTTACATAATTCCTTAAAATTTTCTTAGGTATTATTTCAAAGTTATTGATGCTCACTGAATATTCCATGTGCTACTTTGTATTTCTTTGCCTACTTTAAATAAGAGAGCAATATGATTAATCCTGTTGAGTGGGTTATAAGCAGAAGTAACACTTCTGGACAAAAGCATTCAAGCAGATATGAGTATTCCATTCCACTTTCTGCCAGCGAGTGAGAAGGTTCATTGCAGAGATGGAAAAATAAGATGAAAAAACCCAGATTCCTAAGTCACCACAGGATAATTACTGTGGAGAGTCAGGAAACCTAGGAGGAAATTTGCATGCACAAGAAAATTTTGCAGAGAGGATAAGCCACTGAGATTTTGAGGCAGTTTGCTGTCTTAGCATAATCCTGTACTATTATGACTAATTCAGCTATTCTTGGTATGATAAAGTTTCTTTGATTTGGGTTCTGTTTTTCGATAAAACAAAGGGCATCACTATCTATTGGACTCTTAATTTACGGTACATAAAGGAGATGCCTTATTTACTGCAATAAGTGTTTCATTTAGATATATTATGCTGCTATCTTTCTTGAGAAGACAATGTTGGTAAATAAAGCTAATGTATAAATTAGATACCTAAGTACTCTGCCTATCATATTTCTCAGAACTGACACAGTAACATTTATTTCACATATATGTAGAGACATATACTTTTCTCTGAATCTGACTTTTAGTATCACATGAATCCACAGGCATCTTAGAATCCTTTAGGTATCTAGACTGAACATAATCAGCCCAAACCTTAGAAGATGCTATTTCTCATACGTACCCCATCAGCCCTCCACTTTACCATGATGTAAGAGTCAAGCAAAACCCCAGCTAAGTCTCAGCACAAAATTAGAGTTTTTTGCAAAGATTTTATAACATCAACTGTCCTAGTCTTTACTCCCCAGTGCTAGTTCTCCCACCTTGCACAGCAGGACACTATAAATCTCTACACTTTTCCCTGTGCTGCCCTGCTTATCACCTTCTAGAAACAATATTAGAATTTCTGTTGCCATTTTGCCTACATATTTTTGTCTTCTTTCCTATGTGAAATAGTCCTTGAACAAACAGCTTTGGCCATCCAAGTTGCAGATCCAAAATTCTAAGCTAGGTACATTGTGTAGACACAACATCACCTTTTTCAAGTGTGTTGAGTACAGAAGCAGAAATTGACCCTAAGCAGATAGTACTTGCCTTTAATGTAATTATAATTATATTAAAGTGACATTAAGATAGTTTCAAAGAAGAGCCACATATGCTTAGAATTTCAGAATCATCCTGTTCTAAGAAAAATGCCATTTAATAGCAAAACAGGGTTGCCTACTCTCTGAGATTTCCTTCTAATTAATGACGGGTCTCTGTGTGTTTATTAATAATACACTGCAATTTTAATGTTTATTCATTCTGAGGCAAAACACTGGAACATAGAATAATTTTGCCAAATGAATTTTACTTTGTCATCCACAAATGAATCACCAGTTCAATACAGGTCTTGTCAACTAACGTGCAAAGTTCTCTGTTAAGACTGAGGTAATCAGGTGCATGCAGTTCCCCATAAGGAAGATTGCTTCACTTACCTCAAGGAAAAAAATACAAGTTCTAGGATCAGCTTGAAAGCCAAGTCATAACTTAGCAAGAACAATTCCACTGTTACTATAGAAACCAACACAGAGAGGCATTATTTCTTTGTGTGTGTGTGTGTATGTGTGGCACGTTTTCTCCTAAATATAATTTAAGTTTTGGAAAACATGCGCAGAATGTGCAGGTTTGTTACATAGGTATACATGTGCTATGGTGGTTTGCTGCATCCATCAACCCATCATCTACATTATTTCTCCTAATGTTTTCTCTCCCCTAGTCCCCCCGCAATAGGCCCCAGTGTGTGATGTTCCCCTCCCTGTGTCCATGTGTTCTCATTGTTCAACTCCCACTTATCAGTGAGAAATGTGGTGTTTGGTTTTCTGTTCCTGTGTTAGTTTGCTGAGAATGATGGTTTCTAGCTTCATCCATGTCTCTGCAAAGGACATGAACTCATCCATTTTTATGGCTGCATAGTATTTCATGATGTATATATTCCACATTTTCTTTATCCAGTCTGTCACTGAAGGGCATTTGGGTTGGTTCTAAGTCTTCGCTACTGTGAATAGTGGTGTGATAAACATATGTGTACATGTATCTCTATAGTAGAATAATTTATAGTCCTTTGGGTTTATACCCAATAATGAGATTGCTGGGTCAAATGGTATTTCTAGTTCTAGATCCTTGAGGAATTGACACACTGTCTTTACAATGGTTGAACTAATTTACAACACTAATTTACTGTTGATGGCATCACTTTTTTATACTGTCCCCTTTGGTCTTCCAATCTCCAGAGCCTTTGGGCACAGGCATAAATTAATTCCCAGCCACCAAGGTTGCAGAGTCTGATGATAAGTCATGGGGACCCTAAACTGTCTTGACCACTAATCCACACTTCACACTGGGACAAAGTAGCAAGTACAGGCACTGATAAGGAGAAAATAGGCTTTCTCAGGATAAGCTATAAAAAGAACACATATAGATAGAAGCCAACATATGTCACATCAAAACTACTAGCAAAGCAATCTTACACAGTTACATTATTTCAAGCCAACCATGTATCATCTTTAACGAACAAAAGTATTAAAAGATTTTTTAAATGAATAATCTGGTGAAATTAGCTTTTAATGAAGAATAATAATACTATTTTGGTGAATTTTTAATCAGTAATTATTTGCTTTCTGCAGGTATTTAAGGGGAAAAAAGTAGACATCACAAAAGTATCTCTGTACATATAAAAAGATGAAACCAGAAATTTTAGGAAATTAAGTTGTCTCACACAAGGGGGAAATGAAAAATACTAAAGGAAACTATTTTAATAAATTTTGCCTTATAGAAAATGTTACTCATACATGACTGTACACATACACATGTGTGTGTGTATATCTTATTTAACTAAAAATCTTTCCTGAGGTTTATGTATATTTTTCTGATCTTTCACTGAAAATAAAATGCATAAAATGTTAGATATTAATCACTTGAAGAATATTCTTTTTGGTTTCAGGTATTCAAGTGCATTTTCATGACCTCTTTGGCTGGGCTCATTTAAGCTAAAAATCATCTATTTATGCCCCAATTATTTTTGTGTGTCCCATGTAACCTCCATATATATTTAAACAATTTTTTTCCAACTTTTTTCTGTAGGATTTCTGTGCTATAATAATATTTACTTGAGCTTTTCAAGGTTAGACTTTCAGGTTAGTTTAAGGCAGAAAATGATGCAAAGCGCTGAAGAACTTTTCAGGACCTACTTAAAGATACAACTAAGTTCTTCATGTGGGGACACTCAAAGCTTTGCTGTAGTGCAACATGTGTTAGGAGAATTATTGAATGCTTTCATGTTTCAGAGTACATATCCCAAATTCTCAGACTGCCTAACTGGATGAGTGATGCTTATCAATCCAATTCAATTTACCTAACACTTATTGAGTGTTAAAACCCACAAAAGGTCTACAATCATTACTCTGAGAATATTAATATTAGGTAGAAGGACATAAATCCTATCATGGAATTGTGGGGAAATGCTATTGTAATAAAATGGATATTGAGTCTTATGGTTGCATCAAAAATGCTTTCACAGATGCAGCTTTTCAAAGTGTTTGAATAGAAGCCAGTGTTTGATAGCTAGAACAGGAAGGTAAAAGAAAATTCTAACAGCATGAATAATGACAGAATAGATACAATACTAAAAATACTACTTAATCATTTAAACAATAAAGAATTATTATGACTTAAATCATTTAATTCAGTAAAGAATTTCCCAGCTCCAAATTATTATATATCTACTTGCATTATTTCCGACTTCACATTATTGTGAATTTTAGTAAATTAGATGTGCTTTCCATGTTTTCCTTCAAGGAAAATTAGTTTTGGTTCTGGAGCTACATAGCCTATGTTTCACTACTGAGTTACATTAGTGATCTATGTCTGCTTCATAAAATTTATATTTCTTTCCTGCTTACTAACCTGAAGATTTTAAAAAGTATTTTGTAAATTTAAAACTTGATTTTCAACCTGGGCTTATTTTTAAATCTTTAGCAGTTTTTCCACCTCTTCATATTCATTTGAAGTGGCTGTCAATTTTACTTGTTCTTAAATACAAAACACTGCACATTTGCATTTCAATAAGCCCAAAAGCTCAGATATGGGCCAAATATTTCGGAAATGTCAATTGTAGGTAAAATAGCAACTAGTATACCATGTATTTCAACAGTTCCTAAACTTTCTAGATATAGCCTTAGTGTTTTTGATTAAAGTTATTCAGAAAACAATAAAGAAGAGATTATTTGTCATAAATTCCATAGGAAAAATGATTTTAAGAATGTAAAAATCTCAGTCATTAACTATTAATTATGGATTTTTAACATATGATAATTTTTACTGTACATATTTTTATTAACTATAGTGATACCTACACCCTTCTGTAATTTGCAATTTAAAAAAATATGTCTTGACTGATTCTTTGTTTTAAAGAAAACAACTGAACTGCTTAGTTTGAAATCCCCAGCCTTCAATACTTTAGTCTGAAGAAACTGTCCAGAATTTACCTCACTTTTATTTGCATGAGTTCTCTAAGTTTGAAGAGGTCAATGGGAACTTTAATCATCCAGCTTCTATATATTTACTAGAAAATAATATCAAAATTAATCCCTTTGTCCAACCTGTCTAGTCTTACACAGATTATAAAATCTAGCAGAAGGACTATTTTCCTCTTTGACATCAGACTAAATCATCTTTTATAATCCAATATCCACCATGAATTACATTGTCCCTCTACCATGATACAGCATGTTCATATAAAATGCATGTCCATCAGTAATACCACATTTCTACCAGCTGTAACATAAATCAGTCTGTAGACAAGGCCCAATTCCAAGGTATTTTAGTTCCACCCTTTTCTTATACACCTATCCAATATGCCTTGGCAGTAATGCTGAGAACCTCTAGCTTGTATTATCAGTTGCTATAAATCATGTGCTGCCTATAGCAAGTTTTCATGCTATTTTATTTTATATAAACTCATATAGTGCATGCTTAATTTTAGACCAAGTATGCTTAACATTGTTTTATTTTATCATATATTGTTCTTATATGAAATATGTATGTTTATAAAATGGAATATTATGTTTGACATGATAATGATAGCAACTTTTCACTGTTCTACAGAACTAGCCAATGCCTTCTAAATCTTAATCAAGTAAATTAATGTACAACTCTTCAATGAATAACTATTACCTGCAAAATGCCATGAAAGTTGTGCTAAGAATACGCACAGATATACAGACAAAGCTTTTGCCATCAAGAAGCTTACAATCGAAGTAATCTTAGCATCTAAGCAACAACAGTAAATATAAATACTTTGGCAAGTGCTCAAAACCTCCATCCATAATGGATATTCATGAAGTCTTTGGGGAAAGTAAGTGAAGACAAAAATCTATGGCAGTTGTATTTTCTCATAATGTGTATGAACATCAAGGGAATAGATGACGTGATAAGTCTTTCTCATAATTTGAGCAAGTTTTATTTCATCATTAAAGAAAAATAACACTTTCCCTTTGAAGCAATATAGAGTCCCATCTTAGCTTCACATTGATTTCATTGATATATTCATTATGCAATAAAAAGAAAAAAGAATGTAAGTTGAATATGTCTAGCTTATTACTAACAGTTCTTTCCTAATTTGAAGAGATTCTATTTACAGATCCCTTATTTTTCTTTGTTTGAAAACTGAATACTTTCAGCTTAGACCATTTATGCATGAGCATCTATAATTCTAAACAGTTGTATGAGCAACATTTGGGTTCGTGGCCAGCATCAGTAGAACATATCTTATATAGATCCTGCATATTAAGTACTAGAAATGTGAATGCAAAATAAACAGATATTTTTATATGTAGCTCAGGTAAGATTTGGCAAGTTTAGTAGATATGCTATAGTGTTACTGCCTCTATTTTATAAACAACCAAATCCATTGTAACAAGGGCTTAACATTTCCTAACCTCGAACAATAGACATGAGATATATTTACTAGAGCCAATTTCACTCCAAATCTCTAATTCTGAAGCAGGAAATAATAAAAACTTCTTGAAAATTTGTTTTATTTTTCCTTTATCGAAACTTCTCAAAAAATAACAGTCGTACAGTACAGGAAATATCAGAAAGCACAAATGTCACAAGGTTGAATACTTGCCACATGTTATTAACAATCAGCATTGGGAGGCAGAGATTGCAGTGAGCCAAGATAATGCCACTGCACTCTAACCTGGGCAACAGAGCAAGACCCTTGCTTCAAATAAATAAATAAAGAAATAAATATTTATTTGAAGCAATATATATATATATATATATACACACACACACATACGTATATACATACATACATATATACAATTAGAATTAAAAAATTTTAAAGTCAGCATATTTGATGAAACATATGCTCATATGCCTATCTGTTCATTCTTTTTTTGTGCTTTTCTTTTTTTTTGTAGAGACAAAGTCCCACTCTGTCGCC